TTAAATCTCAAACATTATTAAAGATTGGAAGACATAACAAATAACAAAAGCATAAATAAGCAACACGGTGCCCTTAAGGACATGCTTTGAGTGACATGTGTGGATGGGTCTGCAGAAAAAGATGATAAGAAATTACGGAGGATCATAATTTTGTGATGTGGTAAACATGTAATACAAACTATTTAATGCAATGTATACCAATGAATACCATGTTGGCTTTGTTTAGTAGCAGAAAAACAAGTAAAACTATCATAGATAAGTTTCTTTTAAGAAGTTGAGCCCCACTGGTCCTTTGGCACGAGGGCCAAAACCATTGACTCTAATCGACTCACTTTCTCTGTCACAGAGTGGTAATACAGAGCAATCAATTAACACCAACCACCACTGATGGCCCATTCAATTTAACATGTGCCTTTTCGTGATCCACATTAGGGGCTCACAAATGTGACAATATGAATGTCGTCCTTCAGAAATAACGTCCCTCTTGCCCCCTTCCTGGAGTGGTGAAATATTGAGTGTGACACAGGAGTAATTGGATGGGAAGGAATCAATTAGACACACAATTGAAGGAGACCTGAGGTCCACGGGCTGCCAGGCAAGAGGCTCGACTGAGTCCTGGTGACGTGCACTGAACCAATCTCGCCTGCCTCCTGTGGCAGAGATGCTCTTTCTCCGAGAAGTTAGACAGTCAATGGAAGTCTCGGGGATCAGGCGTAGCCAGTGATTTTACACCCCGCTCTCAGCAGTCCCTTGTCGGGGGAAACAGACTGACTGAAATCGTCCCTTTCACCTTGCCCCATCCCATCTCATTCCATCCCATCCTATTCTTCCCCGCCTCCCCTGTGCATCACTGTCACAAGATGCTAAACAGGACATGTTCAGTAGATGATAACCTACATTTACCGAGAGGCTTTGGACACCACAATGGGACTCAGGTGCTCAAAAGGGTGTTGCATACAAAATGCCATGAACATTGTGTTGCATGTGTTTGTGTTAAATCAATGTGAAAAATCAAGACAACCAATTAAATATGAAGAGAGACAGGAAGCCAAAGAAAGAGGGATAAAAAGAAGGAAGAAGGACAGAAAATGGGATAGATAAATAGGGAGCAGATGGGCCATGAAGGAGTGGATAACGCCTTGGCGTAAAACTCAGGCATGTGTACATGCATGCGACGAGAGAGGATCATTCAGCAGATGGGGCCTCAGATTGGATGCCTCATTTTGGACAGACGCAGTGCAGGCGTAGGGTGGTTAGAAAAATGAATCAACAACACTAAACAAATCTGAAAAAAATGATACTAGATGAAATGAAGAGGGAGAGGGGGGGGGTGGCAGTAAACTGCGTTAAATCAGAAAACCCAACTGTGTCGTGTTCCTTATTGAGGCTGTTATTATTTTGCCAGGGAAGCAGCCTGTAATTATCATGTGAAAGCACAGAGGCAGCCCAGGGTTCATGTGAATCCTGATGGAAGTGCTGAAAATGTAAGCAGGAAGGAAGACACTGTGGGTCAGCGTGCATAAAAATACAGATTAGGAACTTTGAAAATGTCAGAAAGTGGCTCTGTTTAACCTTTTTCTTGGCAGGCTATAGGGAGAAAAAGGTAGGAAGAAAGATATTTATTTAAAGCTTCTCTTTGCAGCAAGCAGAAAGTTCACTTGTCGACCAAAAACGCATTAAAATTAATAACCTTGTGGGAAAAGCTTTTTGTCTTTAAATGAAAGGTGAGTTCCCACAAATGACTTTGGAAATGGACTTGCATCCCTAAAACATAATATCAAACAAACAGCTCAACTAAACTTTCCACACTTAAGCCAAGAGTGCCTCTTACACTTCTTATTCGCTTCTATACACTGCTGTGCACACACCATTCCTCCACTTTTCCCGGCTTGACTGTGCCTGATATTTCATATTCATGAGGATAACTTAGCTAAGCTTGATTGAAAGGTGCATTGGAGGGAGTCCTATCCCCTCTCAGCCAGAGACCTCCTCCTCCCTGTCCTCCAGTCCCCTTAAATCCAGAGTCCACTCACACCTCGCAGAGAGCGCACCAGAAAAATCAATAGGTGCAATGCTACAATATACTAGCGACAAATTGATTTCATCCCAAGGCAATTTCGACCCCAAGTAGAAATGTGGCTGGGTTTCAGAATTGAGGGGTCTGTGCCTTCTCTCGATTAACCCCTTATGTAGTTAATAAGTTTTACACTCTTATATATATGTTGCTTATGGATTATATTGATCATTTTACACTTCTCCTGGGAGCAGCAGGTAGAGAACGATGGGCTAATATGACAGCCACATCAAAGGCAGTGTAATGAATGAGACAGCTAGCCTCGGACTCACTAAAGCACTTGAAGCAAGGAAGGAGTTTTGATCTGTGCTGCTTGATGTATAAGAGTGGATCCATCCTGATGGTTCGAGCTTATTTCCTTAACAGCTCACTGTAGAGCGATGACAACTGCAACAGAACAAACTGGGACACAAGTGACTTGTTTCTTCTCCCACCAGCAAGAGCTTGTTTAACTGTCTGGACCATCTGTGCAAAAAACAGTGACATGGTGGACCCTCCAAGACCTACACTAACTTGACCGGCATTACACGTGTATATATTTGCAAGATCACCAATACTGGCAGTAGCTTGATGTGTCGCAAATGAAAGGGCAACCTGGGTCAAAATGGGAAACTATACATGCAACTTTACTGTTAACACTCTTTTTAGTCTTCTGCTGTGATGATGTAGCAACATAGCAATTGCAATCCCTCCCAACGTGAAAGAGTCATGTTAGTACAAGGAAAAAATGTTGTTGTAACACTTTTTATCATTAACAAGAAAGCAAGCAGGCTCTTTTATTTCTGTTTTTTGCAGGAACAAAAGATACAAGTGCAAAACTTAGTCAGAGTTATGAAGAAGCATGAAGAGTTATGAAGTAGAGCAGATTCAGGCCATGGCTGTTGTGCATAACTTCTTCTCAACTTCATGGCTCGAGGCCACGGAGAGCACATCAAACAGCAACTTCTCACAGAGTCCAGATCCCTCAGCACGGGCTTCAACTTGGCACCACAATGAAAAGGACAGGCTTGGCAAAAAAGCTGCTGGTGGTGCTGGACAAATGCAATTCCCTAAGTATGGCGCAACATACAAGAAAGACTAAAAGATGGAGCGTAACACACAAGCACATGCTGCAGCTGCACATACACTTGCAAACGGCTGTGTTGTTTGCCTCGACTCAGGGGGATCACCAGGAAGGAACAGTTGAAGAAGACAATGAGAGACATCTGAATTATTTAGAAAGCGGGTTTTGAAGCAGCAGAGGCACAAGTTTGGTGCCAAATCTAAATACATTCCAGTCAAGGACTCAATTGAAATCTCTCAATGCAGACAGTAGTTTGACAATTCCAGTGCATAGTGATGACACCGTCACTCTCACTTTAGCCTCAGTGTATCCCTGACTGACTCAACATTATCCTTACTAGTTCAGTGCTCATTTTAAAACTGCCTGTTTGGAATGGCCTGTGGTTATACTGGTTGCAGCTCTCATTCTGAAACTACCACAGTGGGCGGCAATAATTGAGCAAACTAAAGACTGGCTGTGCCACCACTGTTTCATCAAGAGCTGCTCACCTGTTTATTCAAATTTCCATGAAGCTCAGTACGCAGAAACCCCGAACTGGAGAATCATTTATCGTTGCTGTGATTGCACCCATATCTAGTCATGATGTCACTTAACTACATATGAATCCCATAATGATGAATATATATATATATATATATATATAAATGCTGTTAATATTGCTCCCTAAACAGCATTAGGGAGATAGAAATGTTCTTGTTAATTAGATTACTGAGGTTGGATCTAGCATCAGAATGACTAGATCTTGTGTTTCACACATCATTAGCCGCCCAGGCTCTGGCATGCCCTACTTAGCCCTGTTGCGGAGGAGCTCTGTATCTTATATGCAAGTCAAGAGCTCTATATTTTACTGACCTCAGGGTCAGGATGCCTTAAGAAAGCCTTGCACAACAAGGATCCATTGTTTATCTAGAGGCAGAGCTACCCACACGTTTTACCCCTGAGTAAACCATTTATCAGTAATCACATTTGCTGTTTTCTCCAACCTCACAGCAAATGGTCTTGGATCAATTGCAGAGTGTGTTGTAAATCAGACAAGAGTGTGTTAGCAGGAGTGAAATAACAGATGAGACAGTCTTTTCACAACATTGCGAGTCAGCATTGTATCTGTCAGTGTGAGGGGGTTAATTGTGAGAATATCACCAGTCTGGATCTTGGGAGAAGTGGAAGCAGACTAAGCATTTTCCCATATTTAATGAAGTCAATAAAAGCCAGTAAACAGCTTCCAGCGTATTTGGCCAATTTATTAATTCAATTGCCTTTAAACAAGTGTTTCTCCCGCAATTGTTTTTTTGTGACAGCGTTTCCTGAAAACATCCATTTAACCACCTGCTATGCACAGAAAACAGAGAGTAGACGATGCTGTACTAGGAAAAGCCACCTCAAATTAACTTTGGTGCCGAAACAACAAGATCTGATTACAGTTGAATTCAGCCATAAAAACCAAGGACAGCAATTTGAAACAAGGTAATGGAGTGAACTGAATAAATCTGAAGAATTAATTTAATCTACCTCCTGGCTGTTACCCACAAAATGTGAAAAACAAAAATCCTGTAATAGTTTACATAATATCCGTTGGTTTCCACTTTCATTACCTTCTGTTCCCATTTAATGGCTGATTCAACTGTAATTTGAACTTTTGGAGCAGATTGTTGCACTCTCATTGGACAATGTGCATGAAGAAAAACTGGGTCAGATCACCGGTCACAACTGGCTAAATTGAGTTGGCATATTAATCAACACACACAAACAAACAAACACTACAGGAGCTGAGAAAAAATAATCAAAACTTTAATATTGTTTCAAAATGAAACTAAAATTCAAGACACAAGTCAAAGTAACCTGAGTAAGCAGGAAATACTTGAGTCACTCACCTGTGAGGTTTTTAAGACCCAACTGGCGCAGACCAAAGTTACCATCATGTCTGTAGTTGAGAAAGATTGCCAGGGAGTAGCGGTCCTCGTAAAGCTTGGTTCCCCGGATGATCCTCAAATTCTCTAAAGGCAGGTAGTCGAACTGGTTCAGGGCCACCAACACATAGCCTGTCACTTCTCGGATGGACTGCAAAGGTAGAGAGGGAAAGAGGGAAGTTGCTGCGTTTTAGCTGTGCACAATAATGTTGTATAAATGAAAAGTTTAAAAAAAGGTTTCTAAAGATAGAGAAAGAAAGAAAAGGAAAACAACATCTAGCAATATAATATTTTATTTAGTATTAAGTAGTAATCTAGTGTCACAAAAATAGAATAAAAGTAATTAATTGTGTCACCTCATGCTTCAAATATTTATAGATAGATTTTGACTTTCCTATGAGCTGAAATCAAGAAAGAGGTTGGGGGGTAGTTAGAGAAGAAAAAGAAACAAAAGGAATAGGATGGGATAAAAATGCTAAGTCAAAGTCATACATCAGCTCATAGACAGCATCTATCTTCAAGGTCACTTTCCACATGGTCAACCATGCCAGTGAGTTGAGTTAAAGCATCTGAGCAAGGATAATTTGCTCCAGGGCTGGTGACCCCACTGCAAAACTTGGCACAGGGTTCAGCGCTCATGTCCGGGGCCCGGCCTAGGGTGACTGAGCCACAAGGACAGCCATTGCTTCACACTTTAAATGTCATTTAGGAGGGGATATAACAACTGTCGAGAATTTGGCAAGGAGCCACCCAGCTGGAGCTTCTGTTGCATGAATCAAAGTGACAGCCTGTGTCCTCTGTCTCTCAGCCACCATCATGGTGGCTGTCATTAGCAGACCGGCGGTCAGAGAAGTCTTTCCACGCCGGCCTGCTGATGCTGATAATCAACAAGTATGTGTGTGAAGTGGCGTTGGTGAAGAAATGAGTCCTAAGGATGGCCCTGGCAGCGTAGTCATGGCGGTTGACAGCTGTCAGAGAGCATGGCCGTCAGCCACAAGTAAGTAAGCCGCAGTCACAGCTCCGTCATCATTACCCTGCTGATTACCATTAATAGAAACAGACATGCCAGAGTCTGTTGAGTCTGTGCGCATTTATGTGAATGAGTGATGGGGACTTTATATTCAGTGTGTGTCCATGCATGTGTTCATCGATTTGAAAACTAGTTGGAAAAGAAAATCAAGTAAGGTACTTGTGGGTTCTAAGAAGCAAAGGTTGATGCATGATTGTTGTGAACATGTCTACTTGTCACTGTAAGTACTTGTGCATGTATGAGTGAAAAATATGTGGAGCCCCTTAAATGTCTGAGCATGTCCTACGCTGTACACAGAGTAAGACAATCAGGGCCTTCACACTTTGACTTCACTAGCCAAGAGCTGAGGATGACTCACAGACGCTGTGCAGGGAGTGTGAAGGTCTTTTTAGCAGCACTATACGCAATCAAATAGCTCCAAGTCCATGTAGTCCAGTGACATTGTCCTGGGCGCTGTGCCATTAACTACCCTCCACATCTTCAGTCCTGATAAAGCTGAGGGTGGCACACAACAGTAAGTGCAATCAACTCTGGCTGAATGACTCTGAGCATACACAACTAATAATTATTTCAGGGCACACACTTCATGGGTGCTTTTTCACTTTTTTTCCTGAGCCTGTTTATTACCCCACTTGCACGGTTGCTGGTTTGTTATTTTCGAAGCCACCAAATCAATACTTTCCGGAGTGCAGCCTTGCAGAGGGAAATAAAACAAGGGGAGAAAGAAGATGGCAGGTACACGCACTTTTCTCCCCACAGATTGTTCCGTTCAATAATGAACTGCTTGAAAAAAAGGGAAGCAACGTGTAGTGATTACAGGCCCGTGCTGAGCTAATGGCCAAATCTGCTCTGCGTGGTCACTTTCATTAAACATAGATCCACAAAACAAGCATTCCAACTAACCCCCCCAAACCCGGTACAGGCCAAGAGCGCCATATGCCCATTTCAGGGACACAGGCACCTGGATTACAGCACGCTCTAACACATGCAAGTTCCTCAAGGAATGGAGCTGAAATATTAAATTCAAAAAGGTGTTAATACACAGGAGTCCACCATTGTGTGATGGAGGATTTGGCACAGGTGCCAGTGTAATAGCATTTTCAATTTTTGATCCATGCTAAATTTATTTTCGAGGCACTTGCATGACCTCCTCTGTTTAGCTTCAGTGCAATTAGAGCAGTAAATTACCTGCTAAATATAACAACATGACCCATTGTTGTCCTGGATTTCTCCCAGTAAAAATAGCTCCTCTATCTAACTATCTTGATGTGTCTTATGTAAGTGTGATAGAGAACCTGCTTGATTTTACTGAAACCCAAGTTTTTGCCCTTATTTTAGATTAATCTCTCATCACAAACTCTTGATCATCCGTCATCACTTCAGTCCGTAAGTATAATTTTTCTTTTAAAAACTGTGAATGCACAAACAGCTGGATGCTTCCTTACTGCGTGCTCACTGAACTCTGTATCAACCCCCCCAACTCACCCAAAACCCAAACCCCAGACACACACCCCACGCACTTCCAGGAGATCAGAGCGTCAGAGTCCCAGTAACAGTGAACAAAAGAGACAGAGAGAGCCAGATTCACTAGATTAACAGGGATTTCTCCCTCCTCCCCCCTCCCTGAGCCGAAGCATTTGTGAACGGAAGTGTGGCAGCGGAACAAACCCCTCACTTGAGTCACTGAGACGTGCGTGGTTTTAAAATCGAGTCCTTCAATCCCCAACTTCTAAAGGAGGAAGAGAAGGGAGGGAGGTTTTTTGGGGTAGAGTCAGTGAAGGAAGGAAAGAGAAAGGGATAGGAGGGAAGGGGAGGCAGAGAAGGAGAGATATACCACTGCAGAAGGAGGAGCCCAGTCAAGTGGATCGGACTTGTTCTATGTGTATTTTAATACATAATTAAAATCACACCTGTTCCGGTTCAGGGGAAGAGACAGGGGACAGCAAAGGGTGTAAGGAGAGGTGAAGTGTTGGGGGGGGGGCTGAAAGCGTAATGACACCATTAGCATGTTTGAAGAGACTGAACACACGTTAGCATGATTGCCTTTCATTTCCATACATATTGAGGCGTAGTGATGTGCTCCGGTGGGCTGCGGTCATTGAAGGCAGATACACAGGAGTGTGCCACAAGGGCTTAAGCCTCGCCTTGCATCACCAAGCCCTCATCCTCTATTACCATATCTCTTCCCTAAACGCTCAGCCTGAGCTCACATCCACATCTGTAAACACACACCGAATCCGGATGGAGTTTCTACAAGTGTAAGTGAGAAAATCCTCAGGAGATCATCCTCTGCATAACTGACAACCAACTAGAAATATTGCCCAAATTGGAAAACCAAAGGCTTCATTACTGGTTTGACATAAATTTCTAACATAAAATCCTCATGGTGTGTTATATCTCTATTGTGAATAGCTAATGCTTCACAAAGTCATTGATAATATGACTTTATCATATCATCATCATATTGAATCTTTGTGAGTGCAATATATATCCCAGCAGGGGTACCATCCCTGATGGAATTTGTGAGCTCTATTTTTTCATACTCACACTTTAGCAGAGTTGCCGTGCTTCCCTTTAAGTCACCAAAGTGTCCAACAAACAGCCTTGGTAACACCTCAATCCCTCTGGAGTGGCTCAAACCCAATATGAGTCACTTCAAACACCTGCAGTCGATGCTGTGTTTGAAGTGTGTGTGTGTGTGTGTGTGTGTGTGTGTGTGTGAGAGAGTGAGAGAGAAAGTGTGTGCAAGAGCATGTGCATCACTCAAGTGTCTTTTATTGCTTGGACAAGATTACTATGATTACTCATCTTTGAAGATGAAGAGAAAGTATCCCCTCTGATACTTACACAACATCTCTCATGAGCTGTGTGCATGTGTGTATGTGTCGTGTGGCTGTAGGGAAGGAATTCTCTTTTTTTCAACTGCTGACTGTAGTAACAACCACCACAAAGAACAAGGGACATGAAGGGTTTGAAGCATCACTGTTGTCTGTTGGTGTTCCATGTCCTTCCCTTGTGGCTCAAGGATTTCTCTCAAGTTTTCAGTGGGGCAAAATACAATTCAAATTCCCTTTATTGTAAGGCAAAAAAGGCACTTTATTTATTTTAATTATAGACAGAACAAGCAAAGCATATGCATAAGATGAAGTTGAATGGCACTTGGTAGGATAAATACCTGCACCAACACCCAACAGTCCCCATCAAGCCACAAACCAAAACTTCTACATTAAAAATGCCTTGAGAAATTTACAAAAAATGACCAAAAATGCCCCACAATGTTAAGGAAAGCACAAAATAATCTTGATCCACCACATTCATCCAGCCCGCCCCGGAAAGTTAACAAGGTCATCCATACCCATTCTTCCATTGAGATTCAAGAAAATTGGTTCAGTAGAAACAGCAATGGAAAAATAACCTCCTCAGCAAAGGTAATGAATAAAAAGTGCAAGAAAAAAGAAGCTATCCAACATATATATATATGTAATGGAAATTATGCCAGTTTGCTATTATTTATTTAGCTTTTGATTCGCTGCTGCCTCTGAATAAGATTGGCAAGGGAGGGTGACTTTGCGAAGACCCCGTTCAGCAAGTGTGCTTTCCTTGCTGAGGCAATGTGCAGCGCTCGGTTGATGTTTGACTGTCATTGGGTGCGACAGTATGACAGTCTACTTGTCAAGCTTGATGACAAGAAAGGCCTGTAAGGTGCATGCATCATTGACAGAAAACACCAAGATGGTGAAATACAAAAACTGAATAGAGCCAGAGAGAGAAAGAGAGAGAGAGAGAGAGACTTTTATGAACAGAGGTAGACAAAATAAATGGAAAAACCGAATGGTCAGTTAACAGTTAAGGTTGTCTTAGAAAACTATATTATTACATAACTACATTATTGTGTGATATCATATATTACTACAATAGAAAATCCTCATAAGATCTTGCCTAATCCTTGCCACAGGAGCAGACAGCCGCTACACAAATTAATGAGGTTGGATTGGGAGCCTTTTTCATCGACACTGCATATTTGCAAAATATCTGGCTCCACTGGAATGTTGTAAACATGGCTGCTCTCTCTACGACTGCAGTCACAAGGGAATTTAAGAGAAAGTCAAAAGTTAATTAAA